TTCTCAAAGTTCTGGGGCAGGCCCCGAAGCACATGGGGCCCAGCCAAACGGAGAAACGGAGAGGAGTGTGACACCACATCAGACACTTACAGGACTAGGAAGGCCAGAGGAGACGCCCCACTCCTCTCATCTATTTTTGGCCTAACTGGTTTCTCTCATCTGGCCCCAGAATGGCCAGAGAGCCACTCCCAGTGGAAACCACAGTTTGGGGTGGAAGGCTTTCTTCTGCAGTTTCCCTGGGGCCAGGCCCACTGGCCTTGGAAACTGCCTTGGTGTTATTTAAACTGCAGAACAGAGTCTATGGGCAACTCTGACCAGACCTGGGTGGGGGCAGCCTGGATCAGGATTATGCTGGAGCCTCCCTTCCCTAACCGCCAGGACCCCAGGGTTCGAGATGTGTGGTTCCCTCTTAGCAGCCTCGTGCTGCCGTGGAAAAGAGCAAGGGGGTTAAATTATGTGGCAACCTGAGCCTGTACATTTCTGCTTCTGCTTTAATAAGGAGACTGGGCTTTGTCATGAGTGAGGCTGAGGTCCCCAGAGGCCCTGCTCCCAGCCAGAGGGGGAGCTCCGCTGATCTCGACCATCTCTCCTCCCAACTCACCAGGCTTCTTACTTCAGAAAAGTTGACGAAGTGCTTGGAAGACCCAGGATCTTTGCTTGACCTGCCCATCTCTATTTTAGCGGTAGAGGACTCCAGGCTGCTGGCAGGGACTCTGCCACGGCAGGCAGCTCATGCTTTTCTTGGCATCTCAAAGGGCACTGCCTTGGTGTGCCCACCGCAGAAACCAGAGCCTGGAATAGAAGCAGGGATACCTGAAAAAGTCACCCAGATTTCAACCCGGTGTGGTCTGTCCATGGTCAACAAATATTTAACAGAGGGTTAGTCACAGCACTGGGCGTGAGGGCTCCAGATGTGAACCAGCCCCAGACCCACCCCTAAGCAGTGCACTCAGCACAGGAATAAGAATACAGAAGAGGGGGCCTGACCTAGTCTGGGTGAAGGCAAGTTCAGAGAAGCCTTCCTGGTGGAGGTGCCATCTAAAGTAAAACCTGGGGGTAAGGGCGCCTGGGTGGTGAAGCATCTGACTTCAGCTCAGGTCGTGACCTCACAGTTTGTGAGTTGGAGCCCCATGACGGGCTCTGTGCTGACAGCTCTGAGCTTGGAGCTTGTTTGGGATTCTGTGTCTCCCTCTCTCTCTGTCCCTCCCCTGCTGTCTCTCACTCAAAAAAAAAAAAAAAAAAAAAGACTTGAAGCCTGAATTAGTCAAAGAGGGGAGGAAGGGTAAGAGCAAACAGCATATGCAAAGGCCCGGGGTCAAGAGAGGACCTGGCACTTAGGGGGAAATTACCCATCGCTTAAGATGGCTGGGACCTGATGAGGAGAGGTGGCTTGAGGATCTGGAGCATAAATAACATGAATGTATTTCAAGTGCTTGGCACAGCCCACAGTAAAAGCTCTGACATAGTGGCTGTCATAATAATGGTCTTGTAAACCAAGTGAAGGGTTTGGGACTATCCTGAAGTCAGTGGGGAGACATTCAGGGGTTTTATTTTATTTATTTTTGAGAGAGAGAGGCAGCGTGAGCAGGGGAGGGTCAGAGAGAGGGAGACACAGAATCCGAAGCGGGGTCCAGGCTCTGAGCTGTCAGCACAGAGCCCGATGCGGGGCTTGAACCCACGAACCGTGAGATCATGACCTGAGCCGAAGTCGGATGCTTAACCGACGACGGAGTCCCCCAGGCACCCCAGACATTCAGGGGTTTTAAGCCCAGGATGACTTGACCAAATTTGCCATATGACCAGACTTAAAGAGATCTCTGTGACTACAGGGTGGGTTATGGAGTGGTAGAGAAGCAAGGCTGGAGGGCCAGAAGACCAGTTTGGAGACTGGTCTTATTCATTCGTTCATTCATTCATTCATTCATTCAAATACTGATTCAATAATCCAGTGAATTATTAACTTGTTATTTATTTAAATATACTTATTTTGTCATTATTATTAATTATCTGTAATAATTCAGAAAGGAGGTATAGGGTGGGGGGTTCAAATATCCCAACAGTAGAATAGATAACTATATTGGAAGACAGAATACAGCAATGAAAATGAACTATACCTATTTGCAACAACATAATGAGCTTTGCAAGTGCAATGTCGAGCAAAAGAAGGCCAATCCAAGAGAGGACTGCATAATTGCATTTATATAAAGTTCAAGGAACAAGCAAAGTGAAACTATAATGTTCAGAGATACCTGCTTAGGTGGTCATACTATCAAAGCAAAGACGTGATTATCACAAAATTAACAGTGAATTCCCTGTGCTTGATGATACCTTGACCTGAGTGATGTTCACCTGGGTGTTCACTCTGTGACAAATCATTCAGTTTTAGATTTCTCTCTCTCTCTCTTTTTAAAGGAGGTTTTCACACGCAGCACAGAGCGCAATGCAGGCCCGATGCGGGGCCAAGCTCACTACCCTAAGGTCAAGACCTGAGCCAGACACTTAACTGACTGAGCCACCCAGGTGGCTCTTACACTTAAAAAAAAATTTTTTTTTAATGTTTTATTTATCTCTGAGAGAGAGACAGCACGAGCAGGGGAGGGTCAGAGAGAAAGAGGGAGACACAGAATCTGAAGCAGGCCCCAGGCTCTGAGCTGTCAGCACAGAGCCCGACGCGGGACTCGAACCCCAACGAACCGCGAGATCATGACCTGAGCCGAAGTCGGACACTTAACCGTCTGAGCCACCCAGGCGCCCTGGCTCTTACATTTCTGTTTTGGGCACTTTTCTGTATGTGTGCTACTCTTAACAATAAAAAAAGTTTCAGAAATAATGGGGCTTGCTCTAAGGTAGTAGGAATGAGGTTGGAGAGAAGAGGCTGATTTTGACTGTCATGTGGAAAAGTGGGGAGAATGGGGAGGTGAGGAATCCTTTGGCAGGAACGAGTCTCGGGAGGTAGGTGAAGGTGAAGAGCAGTGTTTAACACTGAGTCTGAGACCTACAAGATACTGAGGTGGAGATGTCTGGGGCCACTGTATGAGTGCAGGCAAGTCACGCTCTAAAGTCCAGGATCCCATGGGGCGCCTGGGTGGCTTAGTCGGCTAAGCGTCTGACTTTCGCTTAGGTCATGATCTCACGGTTCGTGGGTTCAAGCCCCGCATTGGGCTCTGTGCTGACTGCCAGCTCAGAGCCTGGAGCCTATTTCAGAGTCTGTATCTCCCTCTCTCTCTGACCCTCCCCTGCTCACGCTGTCTCTCTCTCTGTCTCTCCTAGAAATAAAAAATATTAAAAAAAATAAATAAATAAAAATAAAGTCCAGAATCCCTTCTCCACAAGAGAGGGAAGCAGTGTGGATTCGTGGAATCAATCAGCTTTGGGTTTTAACGCTGGGAACTTTTGGTCTTAAAACCCTAGGTGTGGAGGCGCCTGGGTGGCTTGGTTGGTTAGGCATCCGACTCTTGATCAGCTCAGGTCATGATCTCACAGTATGTGGGATTGAGCCCTGCATCAGGCCCAGTGCCCATAGAGCAGAGCCTGCTTGGGATTCTCTCTCTCTCTCAATAAACATAAACAACAACCCAGTTCTGATAACTTCATGTTACTTCATATAATTACTCAACCCCTGCTCCTTCCCCCAGCCTCAGTTTCCTCACATGTAGACTTGAGATAAGCATTTCTACTCTCAGAGTTCCTGGAAAAGGTTACATGGTAAAACTAGAATAGGCACTTGGGATGTTTGGTGCTTTAGTTATCAATTAAGAGACTCTTGAGAAAACAAATTAAGATACTTTGAAAGCAAAAAAACAAGAACAGATAGCAAACACTATTGGTTTTTACCCTCCCACATTAAGAACTAGCTGGGGAGCTTGCAAAACTGGGCCTTCTGGGGGCCCCTGGCTGGCTCAGTCCGGGGAGCTGGAGACTCTTGATCTCGGGGTTGTGATTTCCAGCTTCACATCGGGTGTGATTACTGAAAAAATTAAGACCTTGAAAAACAAAAACGGGCATTCCGTAGGTCTAGAGTGACCATATAATTTATTGTACAAACCTGGGCACTTTCGAGACAGGAGGCAATATTAATAATTATGCCAGGACAACAGACATGAACCGAGACTGTCCCAGGGAGAGCGGGACATCTGGTCCCCCTATGTAGGTCTGAGGTGGGCACCAGGAATCCGATTGCCCATCAAGCTTCCGAAGTGAACCTGCCGCTCTATGAGGGCACTTTGGCTGCACTTGCTGGGCCAATCCCTGGCACGTCTATTTGGGAAGGGCTCAAATCTACTTGGAGCAAACCTCACGACGCTGTTGAGGCGATGACAGCTAACACTTATTAAACGCCAGGTCCCACCTGTGCGGAGTACTTGACAGACGCCATCTCAGTTCTCACCAAACGTTCATGAGACAGGCGGACTTCTCTTCCATTAGAGGAAACTACAGCTTAAAGATGTCGAACAGCTCCTTCAAGGCCACACATCTGGGGCGGAGGAACATAGTCCTGAACCTAGCCAGACTCATGAGCACTCTAAGTCATACTATTGCCTCGGGTTTTGTTGACACTCCCCCGCCCGCACCCAGCTGCACGGGGCCAGGCGTCCCGCACACCGGAGGGTGCGTGCAGCCCAGCGCGTGCACCTGCAGCCTAAGGCTCCACTTGGGAAACGCAAGGCGAACGGCAGGTGGCAACCTTGAGTTCCTCTCCAGCTACTGGTGAGGTCGGTTTACTAGGGAGGCCGGACGGAGGTGGAGCTAATGAGTCGTCTGCCCGCCCCCGCCCTAGAATCCTGCAGGGAGCTGCGAACGGGGACCTAGCAACGCGTCTCCTGCTGGGCTTTTACGGCTTGTCTGAGGTCTCGGTGAGGCTTTGCACCGCCAACTAGTAGCCATAGATAGGTCGGTGTTGGGAGAGCCCTTCTGACGCATTTTAGTTTATGATTTCCAAACTTTGCCGAAGCCACCTGTATTATGGCTCCCACGGCTGTTTTCAGTTTCTTCTACTCAGGAATACTTGTAACTTGTGAAGCCTCATCCTGGGAGAAGGTTCGATTAGCATGCAGCCTCGACATAGAAAATGGCTGGAAAACATTCTTGACAGATGCCCAGAGAGGGTAGGAGACTGGATATCAATGGCACAGCCTTGCCGGAACTAGGACCCAGGCCCCTGCTACGCCCAGAGCTACGTCATCACAACCCCGCCCCCGGGCTGGCGTCTTAGCTGGGCGCCCCGCGCCCCCTGGTGCGCACACTCCGTCCGGCCTCGCCGGTGCACCTCCCACCTAGGTCCTCCAGCCCCGGCGGGTGTGCTCGCGGGGGGAACAGAGGCAGGGAGCGTGCTTGGGAGTTCGTTCCTTTCTCAGCCCACACCCCAGAGCCCGCAAAGCTGCCCTGCCCTCCGGAGACCCACATGGAATAGCAGGGAAGGACGGGAGGAAAGGGAGGGGGCCGAAAGCAAGCAAGCACGGTCTGAGAAGTCAGCCGGTCCTGCCACACTCAAGATGGCGGCATGGCAGTGGCAAGGTCCCTCAGAGGCGGTACCGGCGCATGCGCAGCGCGGAGTCCCGGCCCGGGACACAAGATGGCGGCAGCGGCGCTGGGGAGGGCGAGGCGGAGGCGGCAAAACGGGAGGTCGAGCAGAACGTGTAGTCGCGTCCCCTCGAGTCCGCTCCGGGCAGGTAAGAGCCCCAGGAAGCCATGGTCCCGCCGCGAGCCGCTCCGGGTTCCGGGGATCTGAAGCCGGGATGCGGTGGCCCCCTCCGGCGCTTTCCGCTCGAGGCCACCGCTTGCCCTGTCTTTGCCGCCGCCGCCATCTTAGGCCCGCGGGTGGGCGGCCGGGCCGGTGGCTTGGGTGAGGGAGGTGGGCCCGGAGAGCGCGGGCGGAGCGGCCTCTAGGGCCCCTCCGCCGCTGCCGCCGCCACCGCCTTTGTGTCGGGCTCCGACTCTGAGTCGCCTCAGCCCGGGGGCGGGAGCGCGCGGTGGGGCGGGGGGCGGAGCCCGGGAGATGGGCCGGCGCGCGCGCGCCAAACAGCCCGCCCCCGCTGGGTTTGGGGGGAGGGGAGGGGAAGGAAAGGTGTGCGCGCGCTGGGGGGCGGGGGGAGTTCCCGTCACTTGTGGCCCCGCGCCTGCGCATTTTGCGCGTTCTTTGACTCCGCCCTATCGATTCGGAGGGTTCTGATTGGTACATTACTGAGATGGTCCCGCCCCATCTTCCAATCCCGTAACCGGCTTTTTCTACTTCTGGTGGGTTCCTCCGGTTGCGCAGATACAGTGGTTTATTAAGCTGATCGGCTCCGACTGTGATATGCTCCGCGGCCGGGAAACTTCAGGACAAATAAACACGTTATGTTAATAATAGAGTTATTTCTTACTTAAAGTGTGCAATATACTAGACTCTACGTGTAGAGACCATAGAGGTCGAATGATTTCCGTTTGTAAGTCGGAACGTGACAGAAGGATCTGGACCCCGGGTCTGCCCACTTCCAGAGCAGGTTCTTCGGCCACCAACCCGCTGCTTCCAAATCACCCGGAAAATTAAGAAAAGAGTTTTAATCGTAAAAAATTGGTAAAGGTTTGAAGCGGTGTAAAAATTGTCATCCTGTTTCCCTGTCCCACCTCTGGAGTGCGATTAAAAAAAAATACAAGTTCTTGTGTATCTCCCCTCCCCATATCTGACTCCTACGATGTGAGGCGAGGGACGGGAATCTGAGTTTCTTTCACACGCCCTCTGACGGCTGTGTTACACGGTGGGTTTTGGAAACACTGAAGGGTCCCTGTCGGGCCTCACCGGCTGTGCTGCGTGTGCTTCCCCTGCCGTGGTTCAGCTACCTGGTGCCTCAATGTCACACAATATTTATTGGGGAAAATATTTTTCAATAAAGATGAACATGCTGAGTTAGTAATGCATTTGCATGTATTGTTTTAAAAGACTGTTTAAAAGAAACGTGTTTTTTGCTCACTGGGTGGCTTGGGAGTGTGGCCCCCGATCTGTGATAGGTACAGTTGACCCTTAAACAACACAGGAATTAGGGGCACTGATCCCCAGCGCAGTAGAAGATCCCGGTATAACTTTGGACTCCCCAAAACTTAACGAATAGCCTGCAGTTAACCGCAAGCCTTACTGACAACGTAAGCAGTCGCTGAACACATGTTTTGTTTGTTATATCAATTATGTAGTGAATTCTTTAAGTTAGAGGAAAGAAAACGTTAAGAAAATCATAAGGATGAAAAAATGCATTTATAGTATTTATAGTATTCAACACGTGTTGAAAAAAAAAATCCATGTGTCAGTGGACCCTTGTGGTTTGAACCCATGTTGTTCAAAGGACAGCTGTATGTTTACTTTTCTCTTGTCTTAGAGATATTTTGGTTGCTAGGAGCAGCTACACAATTTGTGGGGTCCAGTGTGCAAAATGAAAACGCGGGCCCCCTCTGTTAAGAATTTATTAAAAATGTCAAAGACAGTGGAGCATTAAACCAGGCTTAGGGCCATCCTCATCACAGGGCCCATGTGACTTCAGGCGGCAAGTCCACGAAACGTTTTGGTTTGGAAAGCTTGGGAAGTACCATTTCATCCTTTGAATCTCCAGATCTCCCACAGGGTCTCCTGCCCGGTCTTGGGGGCTCTTACTTGGTGTGTCACTGCTCCTCTTATTTTGTCCCTGCTGTGCAGCATTTCACAGGTCTGTGACTCTCTCTTCTATTTCCTCTGCAGTTGCTGATGCGAGGAATTCCCTGGGCCCCCGTCCACTCCACTGCTGACCAGCCCACTCACCTGTGCTGAGCCTTCCTGCAGGCCTCCCCCCCTGCCTCTGTGGTACCCTGTGACGTGGGGGGCCATCTGGTTGGAGAAGAAAACCCTCTCATGCTAGCATTGCAGACCCCAGAGGGTGAGAAAAAGAGGGACCTTGTTCAGCCTTGAGACCTGTGGGCTCAGCCCCAAGGCTTCGGGACTCCCTCCTCCCCAGAGAATCAAGCTCCCCCCCACCTTGGTTAGTGGTTCCGAACCTTTCTGTTATCATGGCCCCTTTGGTTGTCTGTATGTCCTCTTACTCCGTGTGTTTTTTATCTGCCAAACTGTACCGACAAAGTAACCATTCACTTTTCCCTTTCCAAATTAACAAAGACATCTATGACTGAGTGTACAATAAAATTAATGTCCCAGTGATTCTTATGATGTTGTCAACAGCCAATCAGAGCTTCCGATCAGCATGAGATAATCCGTGTGACCACAAGGAGTTGATAAAATAATCAGCAAGCAAAGATAACTGATGTTTAAATATGGCTTTGTCCTCTTTTTGTGGGCAAATGTTTCTCTGGGTCCTGAGGCATATTGAAAACAACTTTGGGATCACCGGTCCAGTCTCAGTTGGGCCCCTAGATGTCTTAACAGCCAGACTGGGAATCACTTGGGCCATTGAGGCTTGTGCTGGGTGTGCTGTGGGTGGGGGTAGTGGAGAATACAGATCTGAAGGAGCTGACCTGCTTCCTGGTATTTAAAGTAAGTTTTCACCTGGGAATTAGGAAGGACTGAATTAGATGTTTCTTCTCAGTCCGACTGGTTTCTTTAGCAACAGATCATTTCCTGCCCTGAGGTGTAGAATGAAGCAGCCAGTTAGAGGCCATGGCCCCCTCCAGGCTACACTTTGTTCCAGTTAGATTTTATTGGATAGGAACAGGGAAGAGGAGGATTTACTGTTCTTTTTTGTGGGAATAGCTTCTCAAGGGCAGACCCTGTTCAGTCTTCTGTGCTACCCTGTGCTTTGTGAATATTTGCAAAATATTCGAATAGAGTTCCTCTTGGGTCCAGGCACCATGCTGAGCGCTGGAGAAAACTGGACCCAGTTCCTAGCCCTGGGATTTCTGACGGTCTAATGGGGAGACAAACCCAGTTGATAGGCCAGACTGAGTGCTACAGTGGAGGTGTTCATGGCCCTGTGGAGGGGCTCTGACCACCCAGCTTTGGGGAGGGAGGGTCCGGGAAGGCTTCCTGGTACGTGTGAACATAGTGACAAGCCGGGCAGAGAACGGGGGGAGAGTATTTCAGGCAGAAGGAGCAATAGGAGTGCACCCATTTTACAGTTGCGAGAACTGCAACTTCGATCCCTGGGCTCCTGTGGTACCACAGTGGTCCTCCAGGGCAGGACTGGATTGATTTTTTAAAATCTACAAGTGGTCAGCGGGGGGGCCCTCAGTGGATTGTAATTGGTGGGTGGGGGCTAGGGGTGGAGCTGACCTCCACGCCCACCCTGCTGGCCTAACACCCTTCGGTCCTCTGTGTGGCAGGTCGGTGTGGGTGCGGAGATGGCCAATGAGAATCACGGCAGCCCCCGGGAGGAAGCGTCCCTGCTGAGTCACTCCCCAGGCACCTCCAATCAGAGCCAGCCCTGTTCTCCAAAGCCCATCCGCCTGGTGCAGGACCTCCCAGGTACTGGCGAGGGGCAAGGTAGGGTGGTGGGGTAGGAAAGATGCCCCAGGGGCAGCCCTGACCCTGGCTGGCTTCCACGCTTGTTTGCAGAGGAGCTGGTGCATGCGGGCTGGGAGAAGTGCTGGAGCAGGAGGGAGAACCGTCCCTACTACTTCAACCGATTTACCAACCAGTCCCTGTGGGAGATGCCTGTGCTGGGCCAACATGACGTGATTGTGAGTGCCAGCCTAGGGCGGGGTCTCAGAGCAGCTTCTGGCATTTGGGCCTTCTCCAAACGTATCTTGAGCAGCTCTTAAGATCCTAGTCCTGTGTTGGGACCTGGGGATACAGTGACACACGAGATAGACACATGCCCTGTCATCAAGGAACCTGTACTCAGGGGAGAGTGACGCGTAAAGAGATGATTGTATTAGCACGTGATACTGAACTTGAACTACCTGTTGGGCACTGTACCTGTAATGCAGCTGTGACCCAAGACAGACCTGGTCCAGCCCTTGTACTCTCATGGGGCCCACAGTCTACTGAGGGGCCAGTAGGGTTACATTTGGCTTGTGTATGAAGAACAGTGTTAGAGTACAGCAGGGACCATCGTCTGGCCTGGGGGAGGGGAATGATTGGGAGAGGGAAAGCTGCTCTTTGAATGAGGATTTAAAAAATTTATCTTAAAATTTATTTCTGAGAGAGAGAGAGCGTGAGCACGGGAGGGTCAGAGAGAGAGGGAGACACAGAATCCGAAGCGGGGTCCAGGCTCTGGGTTAGCTGTCGGCACAGAGCCCGACGTGGGACTCAAACCCATAACCGTGAGATCATGACCTGAGCCAAAGTTGGGTGCTTAACCAACTGAGCCACCTAGGCGCCCCTCTTTGAATGAAGATTTAAAGTGACCAAGTTAGTGAAGTGAAAAGTTGTTAGAGGGGAGAAGCATGTTTTCAGGGTGGAAGTGCCCATGTGATAGGAGAAGTAGCAGCATGGGGCGTCCGCCAGGAACATGGGCTTTTGGGTCCTTGTCAGTTGGGGCGAACTTTTTTTCTGGGCATAACCACACCAATTGGCACTCCCGTTTTGTAGATGGAGACACTGAGGCTCAGAGATGGGAAATGATTGGCCTGAGTCGTCAGGCCTGTAAGAGGCAGAGCTGGATTCAGACCTTAGGATTTCAGGGCCACCCTGCCTAGTATCATTCTTCTTGGTGTCGCCTAAGGAATTCCACCCACAGGGCCTTGCTTTTTCAAAAACGAGCGTCTTGAATTTTTCCTTTATTCCTGACTCTCTGGTAATTTAGAAATTAATGTGTACAGAGTGTTCGTCTCATGCCAGATGCCACATTAAGCTGGTTATGTTCATGGACTAATTTAATCATCTTCCCAGTAGGAGGCTGGGCCTATTTAGCTGGAGGGCCATTTGGAAGGTGAGGGAATTAGGGAGGGACAGAACTCCCCCAAGGTCACATGGCTGCAAGTAGCCTGTGGCACTGGAGCCCAGTGTTCTTTCTGCATCCCAACCTTCGAGCAGCAGGAGCAGGGGGCAGGAGGGCATCGGGATTCCGGATTACTGAGACTCCTCTAAGCCACCGGCCCCAGTTGCAACTCTGCTGTTCTCTCTCCTCCAGTCGGACCCTTTGGGGCTGAATGCGACCCCACTGCCCCAAGACTCCAGCTTGGTAGAAACCCCCCCAGCTGAGAACAAGCCCCGAAAGCGGCAGCTCTCCGAAGAGCAGCCAAGCGGCAATGGCGTGAAGAAGCCCAAGGTGAGTGCTTGTGGGCTGTGAGGACCTGGCTGGCGGGGGGCCAAGCCAGGCAGGCTGCCAGCGGGTTCCCTGCCAGGGCCGGGCAGTGGCAGGTCTGTCAGGAGCGGCGCCGGAGGCACAGCTCACCGGGTGCGGTACTGGAGCCACAGGCCGACTCTCCTGACCCTGATGCCTTTCTCTTTTTTGCTCCAGATCGAAATCCCTGTGACGCCCACGGGCCCATCGGTGCCTAGCTCCCCCAGTGTTCCAGGAACCCCAACACTGAAGATGTGGGGGGCATCCCCTGAAGATAAACAGCAGGTGGCTCTCCTCCGACCCACTGAGTGAGTCCCCGCTGACTGGCTTGGGGGCACCCAATGGTGTGGCCTGCGTGCCTGGGAGCGTTGGGGTGTGGTGGCAGGCAGGGCACTCCTCCCTCCCTTTCCTCCACTGTCCTTGTTGTTCGTTTCTGTGCCCCAAGGGTGTACTGGGATCTGGACATCCAGACCAACGCGGTCATCAAGCACCGGGGGCCTTCGGAGGTGCTGCCCCCGCACCCCGAGGTGGAGCTGCTGCGCTCCCAGCTCATCCTCAAGCTTCGGCAGCACTACCGGGAGCTGTGCCAGCAGCGAGAGGGTAACTGCCTCTGGGCCTCCGAGCTCTGTTTCCACCCGCCCTGAGCAAGACCCAGCCTTGGGGAATGGTGCGGGGAGCCTAGTGGCTGAGAGCACAGGCAGTGGGTGGGGACAGGCCTGCGTGGAGCCCCAGCTCCACCAGGTGCCTTCAGAAAGGGTGGCTGGTATCAGTAACCACAGAAGGAATCATTAACACTTCCAGAAGGCTTGCTGTTCGCCAGGTATCATTTGAAGCCTTTTTACGTATCTGTGAGGTACGTAATTTGTGAGGCCTCAAAACAAGTGTCTGTCCTCATGGCATCCCTACTCCTAGGAGTGAGAGGAACGTAAAGTTCTCAGGGAACTGCGGCTTTTATTAACTAGTAAATAAGCCGCTTAACTTTGCCGGAACGTGGGGTTTCTCTTTTCCTCTTTTACCCTGAGGAACATCTAACGATGGGGTTTATAAAGTAGCAATCCTGAGAGTATACTTGGGGAGAGGCTGCCTGCAACATGAGCTCCTGACTTACCGGGCTGTCATCTACTGTTGCACTTCCAGCGCCCCCACACTGCTTCCTGTCTAAAGCCAGACCTTCACCAGTTCTTCTGTCCTGCAGGCATCGAGCCCCCTCGAGAATCCTTCAACCGCTGGATGCTGGAGCGCAAGGTCGTGGACAAAGGCTCTGACCCCCTGTTGCCAAGCAACTGTGAGCCGGTCGTGTCGCCCTCCATGTTTCGCGAAATCATGAATGACATTCCCATCAGGTATGGCTGTACAGCTGGGGCCAACTAAGGGTGTTTTTGTGGAGTCAGTCCTGCAGAGAAGGGTCCGGACTCTGCTTGTTCTCTATCCTAGGTTATCCAGAATCAAGTTCCGGGAGGAAGCCAAGCGCCTGCTCTTCAAATATGCAGAGGCCGCCCGGCGGCTCATCGAATCCAGGTTTGCGCTCTCCTCCCCCAGCAAGCCGGGTATGTGGTCAGCACGGGGAGGCCCTGGGCCATGGGGTCCATCTCCCGGAGCTCGGTCATTGCTCTTGGTGCCAGGAGGAGGGAGGGATGGCTCCCAGAGCCAGGACAAGGGCCCAAATGTCAGTGTAGGTGGGGTGGGAGGAGTAAGGAGTGCGGACGGACGCCTGACAGCTCCCTTACATGCCTCCCGGTGGCAGGAGTGCGTCCCCCGACAGTAGGAAGGTGGTCAAATGGAACGTGGAGGACACCTTCAGCTGGCTGCGGAAGGACCACTCTGCCTCCAAGGAGGACTACATGGTGAGTGGCCCCGGCCCCGGGTAAGGAGGCCAGTGGAAAGGCTCTGGGGTGGCTTCCTCCAAGAAGCCCACTCTGCCTGCCCAGGCCGGGCAGGGCCCCACAGCAGCCTGTTCTTTAGCAATTCAGTAAACCTTTGATACTCATTGGTCCCTCAGCTCCTGCATGTAGAGAGGTTTGTCCAGGCTCCTGGCTCTCTCGTAAAGACTCTCTCCATTAAGGTTCTTTAATAGAATTCTGTGCTCAGCCACACACCATAAGTAGCTTTTTCAACTTAACGCTCAACATCTCCCTTGAGTAGACTTTTGGACACAGATCGACAGACTACCTTTTTTGGGGTGTGTGCACTCATCACAGTTCAGAGCCGGCCATCAGATTCATTTCCCCACTTTACCGTGTCCACAACAATTCTGTTTTCTGGCCCAGACCCGTCACTTCTCTAACTGTCCGCCAGCACTAGCAATGGGCTTTCTTTTCAGGACCATTTTTCACAAGAGACAAGGTTTCGCACTTCACGATAGTAACTGTACTTGACACGTAGAATGACAAAGGTAGGTGTGCTCACTAGCCAGAGTGACTCATTTTCACTCCTCACTTTCACACGTGTGATTCAGCAAAATTCCAAATGCCTAGTTAAATCCTTGCAGGTTGCTAAAAGCTCAAATTTCAAATCGGTAATGACCAAGGACCCCGTTTTGTAATGGTGTCTCTCCCTGATAGCTGGCAAATGCTTTATAAGCGGGGGACTGTGCCCCGTTTGTGTGTCTCCCCAGCATTTATCATGGGATCTGGCACAGTGTAACCCCTTAATGGGAATGATCACATTTAATACTCAAACTGCCTTGTCAGGTGAGTACTTTGTGTTCCCTTAACAGTAGAGGAACTAAGATTCAGAGATGCCAGGGGACTTGTCCAAGTGACACAGCTAGTAAGTAACAGCCAGTTTCAAAGCGAAGACTGTTAGAATCCACCAGCCCTCCCTCAACAGGCCCCTAGAGCCCTGATCGGGAATGTCTCCTCCAGGACCGCCTGGAGCATCTGCGGAGGCAGTGTGGCCCCCACGTCTCGGCCGCAGCCAAGGACTCAGTGGAGGGCATCTGCAGTAAGATCTACCACATCTCCCTGGAGTATGTCAAACGGATCCGAGAGAAGCACCTGGCCATCCTTAAGGAAAACAACATCCCAGGTAAGGGGCCAGTGCAGGGAGCCAGCTGGGGTGCTGCCAACTCTCTCTCCCGGGCCCTGAGTGAAGGGACAGGCAAGGCTGCGCCTCCAGGCCATGGCTGGTTTGGGGAAGCCCGTCCCTCCCGGCGGTGCCGGAGGCAGGCCCTGCTGTCCTTCGGTGCAGGGCCCCCAGCACTCCTCCGGGAACTGGAGAAGGGTTGGGAGAGGAGGAGCTGGAGGTGGTGGACATGACAGGCCAGGGGGAAGCACTGAGGCGGATGACTCGCGCTCACAGCCACTTTCTGCAAGCCCCAGTTCCCCCACCCTGCGGGCTAATACCCAGCCGTAGGATCATTCGAGAACTCGGTGGTAACTCAGAGCGCTTGGCCCAAAAAGATGCCTAAGTAAGGTATTGTAACTACAAATGCGCCGTAGTTCTACTTCCGCGTGGCCACCTGGGGGCTTGTGTCAGTACGAGCGCAGTGACAGAGGCCACCAGTTACTGCCCCTGCCAAGAACTTTGTTATTAAACCATCTGAGCTGTGCTCTGCTCCTCCTTGGGATGAGACTTACCTCCCTTGGTTACTGGGGTACGTTGTGTGAAGCACCCAGCGCACGGTGGGCAGAGGCCATCCAGGGTGAGGATTAGCAGAGCCGAGGCAGGGGGGCCCCTCATTGCTCTCCCTGCCCACAGAGGAGGTGGAGGCCCCAGAAGTGGAGCCCCGCCTGGTGTACTGTTACCCGGTCCGGCTGGCCGTGTCTGCGCCCCCCATGCCCAGCGTGGAGATGCATATGGAGAATAACGTGGTCTGCATCCGGTATAAGGGAGAGATGGTCAAGGTCAGCCGCAACTACTTCAGCAAGCTGGTAAGAGCTGGGGTGAAAGGGAGGCAGGTCCCTACAGGTGCAAGAAGTGAGGGCTGCTTCCTTGACTCCGTGTCCTCAGCAAGAGCCCAGTTACAAGGGAGCGAGGGGCTGCTGTTTAAGGGCCGTGCTCTCTGTCCCGCAGTGGCTGCTTTACCGCTACAGCTGCATTGACGACTCTGCCTTTGAGAGGTTCCTGCCCCGAGTCTGGTGTCTTCTTCGGCGGTACCAGGTATGGGCCTGAGGCAGCTGGGCGTGGGCTCTTCTAAAGGCAGGGGGAAGGCCGAGCCCAGGAGGCTGACTGTGGCCTCTTGCAGATGATGTTCGGCGTGGGCCTCTACGAGGGGACAGGCCTGCAGGGATCGCTGCCCGTGCACGTCTTTGAGGCCCTCCACCGCCTCTTCAGCGTCAGCTTTGAGTGCTTTGCCTCGCCCCTCAACTGCTACTTCCGCCAGTACTGCTCTGCCTTCCCAGACACAGATGGCTACTTCGGCTCCCGCGGGTGAGAAGGCTGCTGGGGCCCTTGCGCCTAGGGCCCGGGAAGGGGTCCTCTAGAGCATGGGTCACACCTGGGCCAGCTACTTGGAATTGGGCAGTGTTGTATATAGTCCCTGCCTTCACCCCTTGCTAGCTGTGTGACCTTGGACTTGTTGCTGAACTTCTGGGAGCCTGGGATAGCCCCTAACTCAGCCTGTGGGTTTCTCTGTGCAGGAGTCCAGGCTGGGGGAGGAGCGTGTGCTTCCAGGCACCGAGGGGCACAGGAAGCAGTCATTCAGAGCTCAGGGACCTTACAGACTAACGCAGGGTGTTGGGGGGGGATGAGCATGGGTGAAAGGGGGACACAGCCTCTGGCAGGAAGACCAGCCTGGGCCAACAGAAGGAGAAGCGGAACAGCTGGGGGACTCCTCACTGTGGCTTGTGCTGTGGTGGCAGCAGGGCCTGAACTTGATCTGAGCTCCAGCCATTCCACTAAGCAGCTCGCTGCACTTGGCCACCAAGCCTGAGCCTCTCCATCCTCGGCACTCCCGTGGAGTCAGCCCCCCATTGTCCCAGGTTGAATTAAGGGTGACTGTTGGCCTGTGGCCTGACCAGGGTGGTCTCTTTAACGCGGTGGGGGCGGCACCTTTTTTTTGAGGACCGAGGTTCTGGTAGGACTTAGAGTGCTCACCTCCATCCCCAGGCCCTGCCTGGACTTTTCCCCGCTGAGTGGTTCCTTTGAGGCCAACCCTCCGTTCTGCGAGGAACTCATGGATGCCATGGTCTCTCACTTTGAGGTGGGTGTGCTGCTGGGGGCAGGGAGGGATGGCAAGCGGGATTGCCAGCCACCCGGCGGGCAGCCTCTGATGTCCCCATCCCATGCCCCCTCCCACAGAAACTGCTCGAGAGCTCCCCGGAGCCCCTGTCCTTCATCGTGTTTATACCCGAGTGGCGAGAACCCCCCACGCCGGCGCTCACCCGCATGGAGCAGAGCCGCTTCAAACGCCACCAGCTGGTCCTGCCTGCCTTTGAGCACGAGTACCGCAGTGGCTCCCAGCACGTCTGCAAGAAGTGGGTGCCTGGGGAGGGCAGGGTAGGAGGGCCAGGCCGATCGGGCTGGGCCAGGCCCCACCCTGAGCTGCTCCTTTGCCCACAGGGAGGAAATGCACTACAAGGCCGTCCACAACACCGCCGTGCTGTTCCTACAGAATGACCCTGGCTTTGCCAAGTGGGGGCCAACACCCGAGCGGCTGCAGGAGCTGAGCACCGCCTACCGGCAGTCAGGCCGCAGCCATGGCTCCGGCTCCTCGTCGTCTTCCTCCGAGAACAAGGACCGGGACTCTGGCCGTGAGCAGGGCCCCAGCCGCGAGCCTCACCCCACTTAACACATCTTGCGGGGAGGAGGAGCCCCAGGGTGCTGGTATGGACTGCTGGGACTCGGGCCTCTTGGGGCCAAGCGGACCCCAGGACCCTCCCCCTGAGGTGGCAGCAGGGCTCAGGCTGCCAGTGACATAGGAAGATGATGGCGCTGCCAGGGCTCCCCCTCCCTGCCCAGTCTCCCGACTCCTCACCTCAGACTTGCTCCAGCTCCCCTGTAAATAGGCCCCATCCCTTCCCCTCCTCCCCATCCCTACCATCTTATTGCCACCTTGTTTCATTTGTAAAAGGAAATACAGAACCCCCCCCTAAGAATGTGTGAGGGTCTTGAGGGCCGAGAAGGCGGAGAGCCTGGAGCTAGTCCTGGGAGCACCCCTCTACACTTAGGCTCACCTTCTGGACCCCTGGGCCTCCACGCCCCAGCCCCGGGCTCCAGTGTCTTAACTTCTCACCCTGATGACCCCACAGTAGGGTCCCTGGTGGCCTCTGCCCTGTGTCCGGCGGGTCTGAAGAGTCCAGAGCCTGGCATCATCCATCTGTAAGCCCCAGACTCCCACAGCCAGGCCTGCCCTCGTACCTCTAGGGAGCGCAGGACGGGGGGCTGTGCCCGGGTAGTGAGCTAGATTCCTGCTTCACCTGGAGTCACCCCAGTGAGTGGGCAGCCAGGTATGTTTCACAGACGAGGGTCAGTAGGAAGAGCAGCTCTGAGCCACCATGGGCTTCAGGGAATGGCTTCGGAGCAGGCAGGCACCTGGCTGAGCTCCCCTGCAGACCTCTAGGTGTGAAGTAGATGCTCCCCTGGTGCTCCCCTGGGGGCCAGGGGAGGAAGAGGGCCTGATGGTGCTGGGGGTGGGGTAGGGTGGAGGCTCTTACCAGCTCAGCCATCTGTCCCAGTGTCAGGCCTCTGCCCCAAGGGCCTGCCCTGCTGTTGGGCCCCTGCACTTACAGAGGCCAAGCAGGCTGCACTGTGGGGCTAGGCAGCTCTTGAGAGCTGTAACGGGCTCCTCCTCTCCGTTTCCCAAGTCCTTGCGGACAAAGTAAGATGGTCAGGACTGGACTCTGGTCCCTTTATTGAGACTGAGGGGCCAGTGGGTCCATCCAAACAAAAATAAACTTTTCTCCCCAAAGCCTGCCTGCAGGCGAGGGCACCCAGCATGTCCTGGCTGGGGCCCGTGGCTGTCCCCTAAAGCCAGCAGCACAGGTCTGGCTCTCTCAGAGTGACAGGATGCTGGCTGCCCAGTGTCTGGAGGCCCTAGGTGGGACAGGGAGGTGGGTCCCACTGGGTCCCCCCAACCCCCAGCATGGCTGGTCTGGCCCCAATATCCATGGTGTGCGTTGGGCCCCCGGGGCTCAGTCATCAGTCAGGGTAATGACGTCGTACTCGATGCCCTGGTGCTGCAGTTGTTGGATGTGTTCAGGCACTGCCTCTTCTGTGCCAAACAGGCCCTGGGCTTGGGCCATAGCAGCATCGGCCACCGCTGCCAGGGGAGGGGAAAGGACGGTGAGCCTGAGGCCCCAGAAGCTGGGCCTGGGTCCCCGTGGTTCTCAGGGTGCCCCCCACCCCCCTTACCTGTGACTGCTGAGTGTGCTGCTGCCTCCAGTTGGGCCTGTGTGACAAGCTGCTGCCCTGGGGACACAGGCACATACTGGATCTAGAGGGGAGAAGCCAATGAGATGTGGCCTTGGAGGAGCACTGCTTGTGTCCCAGCTCCACACAACCCCCTAAAGGCCCTACCTGGGACTCCTGAAGGAACGGGGCCCCCTGTTCATACTGGATGTGTGTGATCTGGCCTTCCTGTACCTGGAGAGAGAAAGCCCATCTGGTGATTAAGGAGGCTGTCCTCCCCTCCGCCCATTCCCATCCGTGCCCAGGCCTGGCCCACCTGGATGTGATGGCCCTCTGGAACCACAACATACTCCTGGGGGAGCAGGTGCTGGACTCCGTCCTGGGAGATGATGTACTGTACCTGGAAAAGGGCGGAGAAGAGGCAGGTGTTGGGGCCCTGCTGGAGCAGGAAGCACAAGCAGGGGTCCAGGACATACGCCATCAATGATGGCAGCTACACAGACCCTGGGAGGAGTGGCTGGGAAAGTATTGTTCCCCCACAGAGGGGGTTTGGGGAAGGGGGGAGGGCCCTCCCGGCTGAGGTGCTCACCTGGTTGTCAGAGGTCACCAGGTGCTGTACTGTCTGGCCATCAGCTGTGGTGATCTCTTGGATATAGGTGGCTTCTTCCTGCCAGGACCAAGTCCACTCTAGCCTCGCTCTGTGTGCCCCGACCCTGGCCTGTGACTTGCCCGCAGGACCCCCAAACCCGGGCTCTCACCTGATTGCTCACGGTCTGCTCTTGGGCCACAATGATGTGTTCCTGGCCCAGCGCCTGCTGTAGCCGCTCTGGCCCCAGGACCCCGTGACCGGACTGGAGTGCGGCTAGGCAGGGAGAAGAGGGTGCTTGCACGGGGAGGTCCAGGGAGAGCAGAGATGCCCCAGCCCCCACCCTGCTCTCCCAGGACAGCTCACTGTGCAGTGTGGCCAGTGTCTCATCATCACTGTTCAGGATGATGGTCTGGGTGGGGGTCCGGCCTGGGGTCCGGGTGGCAGGTGTCCCCGCCTTTCTCCCATCAGGACTGTGTAGCCGCTGGATGTGGAACTTGAGATGCCCGTTCCGGTTGAAACTGTGGGGGAGGGAGGAAAGCTCAGGGGCAGCCCCATCACGCATGCCCAGCGGCCCCCACCCACCTGTCCTCAGCCTCACCGCTGCCCGCAGAGGTGGCACGCAAAAGGCTTCTCATTGGTGTGGGTCAGCATGTGTCGCCGCAGGTCCTTCTTGTTCTTGGAGGCAAAGCTGCACTGGCTGCACTGGTGGGGTCGCAGGCTCGAGTGCTGTGCCATGTGGGCCTGGAGCAGGGGCAGAGTCCGGGCCAGTGACAGGTGAGGACAGGCAGCTCCCCACAGAGACCACTGCCGGGGAAGCTGCCCTCAGATGGAGGAACTGGGTGACCAGTACAAACCAGACGGAGATGTGGTGCTGTTGTGAGAGAGGGCAAAGCCACAGGCCCCGCCATCGGGTCACTTCCGAAGTCCTGCTCCTGCTCTGATTCAGTTTACCCCCTTGTCACATAAGGTACAGGTTCAGATGAGGGGACCCCCGAAGGTCTCTTCCAGCCCTGATGTTCTAGGGTTCCGGGCCCTGCTCCCCTCACTGAGCTGCTGCGAGGATCCCGCGCATGGCGGGACGTGAGCTGGTAGTCCTCGGGGGAAGGGGCCCCTGCCTCCTGCCCGGAACCCCTGTCCTCGCCTTCTCCACGTCATCACCACCTTCCCTGTGCTCTGTGCCCTTTATTCTAGATGCCTCATATTTCCCTAAGTGCGCCTGGTGCTGCCACGCCTGTGCCTGTGCCCCTACAGGCCCAGCTCGGTCGTCGCCAGCACGCAGTCCACACGACCTGTTTTCTGGTTGTCTCTGCTCTGCCATATGCATTCTGTTCCCATTGGGGGTGCTGTGGGGCATTAGTCACACCGTCTGGTTTGCTTCCCCACCAAACTGTGTTCCCTCAAGCTGAGGCCTCACAGAGTCCTTTCCGACCCCAGAGAGGGGCAGCGGACCCTGCTTGAGGTGTTCAGTTAAAGTTTGTTCCGCAAACCAGTGGCCAAATGAGCTCCAGGGGAGGCACAAGGGGGCAGCACCTACCCGGACCTCGGGCCACTGGCGGGCACTGAAGGGACAGTCGGGGCACTTGAAGGCACTAGGCCCGGCATGGGCCCGTTTGTGACTCTCCATCTCTGCTCGGCCAGGGAAGGCCTCAGCACAGATCTTGCAGGAAAACTTCTTTGATGACGCTGTGCCTGCGGATGGCGGCGAGGGCGGTACTGCCAGGCCCAGAGCTTTGCTGGCTGTAGGGGGTGGGGAGGCAGAGCCCTGCGGGTCTCCCACCCGCTGGGTCCTGGCTGGAGGTGGGGGCTCAGGGCCATCTCTGGGCAGTCCCCCGCACTGCAGCAGGGGCCACTTGGCTCCCGGGCTCAGGGGCTCTGGACTCGGGAAGGAGATGGAGCCATCTGCAGCGAGCTGTAGAGAGATGGGGGAGCGTGAGGTACTGGGGCAGATGGGGGCCCCTCGGGGCACGGGGGAGGGGCCAGCCACCCCAGCCTCACCTCAATGTGGTGCAGCTGCGTCCCGTCAGCTGCCATGATATAGTGGGTGCCAGCTTCTTTCAGGGTGTCGCTCACAACCACAGCCTGGGCTGCCTCCCCTGGGGGCTCCTCACTGTGGGCACCGAGGAGGAGAGGAGTGAGGCAGGGTTCGGGGAGGGGAGGGAAGGCCACAGGGTCCTCTTCCCCAAGAAGGGCATCAGCTGAGGGGTGATGGCAGTGAGGCAGCGAGGTCCCGGACTCCAGCCCAGGCCTGGCCAAGTGTGGCTGCGGGAGGCCCAGCGTGGGAGGCAGCGCCGCAGGCAGGGGTGGGGAGTGGACAGCAGACGCTGAGACCGGGCTGCCTGCTAGGGGCCCAGGGATCCCACTTTCCATCCCAGCCACGTGCTGGGGCACTTTGAGGCTTGGATCAAGGGCTTTCTTAGACTGCCCGGGAGTTCAGGGAGCATGTCATCTTTCTGCCCCGAACTTGCTGGGTGTTGAGGAAGCCAAGTGAAGCCGTCAGGCCTCCCTCCAGTGCCGGCAAGGGGCCTGAGCTTGCTCCGAAGGTCGGAGCTGGGATCACCCAGAACAAAGAGCTCATGGCTTTGGAACCAAAGTTTGACTCCTCACTGCATGTCTGAGCCTAGGTAAGTTACTCAAGTCCCTGGTCTGTTTCCTCACTTGTGCAATGAGGGACACCTGGATCTTAAGAGCATGGTTTAGGTGAGTTCACCAATGTCCAGTGCCTGAAACACCTAAGCAGCCAAGAAATAGTGGCTTCCGACCTCCTGAGAATACGACCCGATGGCTAATCGCATTATACACATTACGATTTTTGCCTCCTGCCAACTCAGCTCTAGTGGGCAGGGCCCTTCTCTGGCGCCTCCCAGCAAGCCTTCTAAATGGCTGGAGGGGGCCTGGCGGGCAGCAGGTCTCACCTGTAAGGTGTGCCAGGAGCCGATGTCCCCTCCTCCATAGGGGGTGCTGTGATGACACTGTAGCCAGTCCCACCAAACGGACCGGGCGCCAGGGTAATCTGTTGCAGATCGGGGGTGCCCAGCTGGCTCTCTGCTGCCACGCTGCTCCCCGGCTCTGCCACGTGGAGTGTTACCACTTGGGGAGCGGCCCCTGCTGGGGAAGGCTGCCCACCGGGGGATGCCAACTCTGCTTCCACGTCCT